ACCATGGTGTTGTCGACCCGCCGCGGCAAGGTGACGTCCCAGTCCTGGATGACCGATGCTCTCCCCGTTCTCAGAGACAATGTTTTGTCGAGCATGTACACATGCCAGAACAAGAGGGTCTTGATGTCTCTAGGTCCGGCACTCTCGCTCCTCACTTGCGATACGCGGTGGTAACCAAGCGTCTGACACAAGCTTGCAGCAGTGGATGTGAAAAGCCACGCGAGCGACGCTTTAGATACATCCACAGCATAAACGGCCTACAGTCGCTGTCAGCTGTATCGTCTACAAACAAGCACAGCAAGACCTTTTACGGACCGCCAGGAGCAAGGCTTCTATGCTTTCGACCTTTGCAGGGAGCATCAAAGGCAAGGAAGCTAGCGCCATTTCTAGATTGCTCTGGCACATATGTTGGTACCTCTCAAACTCTTCGCGCGCGGTCGCATCCGATGCTAGGTATGCTTGTTCCATGAACAAGTAGAAGAGCGCCCCATTCACTATGATGAAGGTGGTATCAGCAAAGTTGTCGGTGCAGAAGTACACTCTCCGGCAGAGCTCGGCCAGGTCATCAACATCGAGGAAAGAGCATGCGAGTGAAAATATGCTAGGGGGAGAAACTATTGTCATGTCAGTCTGTTGAACTCTGAAGATTAGGAATGAGAGGACCTTTCATATGCTTGAGCAAAGCAACGACGGCGTTCATCGGCGGCATGGGCAATTCAGGTAGACCTCCTGGAGGAAGCGGCTGATGCGTACGGAACCGAAAATCTCGATTGGAAGAGGCCTTGCTCTGCATAGCGACGATATGCCGGAGGGAAGAGAGCGCAACTTGCATGTTGGGCGCCACGTCCTGGAGCGATGTCCTCTGCACGGCGTTTTCGATAAAGTCGCTGGCAAACATGGTGTGGGCAGTCAGAGAGAGGTCGCCCTCGAAAGCCGAATCCGAATCTGCACCGTCATGGGATAGGACAGAAGCATCCCCGATGGTCGAGGCTGAGGGCGTCGTATGTCTGGCCCTAGTGGCATCCCATGAATGACCACCTACACCAGAAGGGTTGTTGCTGAGGCTCCGCAGGAGCTCCTCGATATTCGAAAGTCGTTCCTCGATGAGATCAATCTTTTTCTCGCTAGTTATGGCAATATCAACATTGGCTTTTTGCTCCGTCAGATTTCGCGAGCCCAGTGGTATCAGGGAGCCGTGTTGGTGACCACAAGACAATGAATTGATCTGAGAGTGAGGGATATGAAGTGAGGTAGAGAACTTAGGGAGGGGACAAAGAAAGGCGAGGTGGATGGCGTACTATTGAAGAGAAATGAGCACGCGATGTCTCTGCTCCTTCGGCTTCTGACCAACACCGTTTGAGCTGCAGGAGCGTTGAGTTATACGGCAGTTGGAACATGGCGAACTCTTATCACAACGGATCTGTAGCACAAAGCCAAAACGTGTTCTTGTCAGCAAATCCGGACTCTCAATTTAACGCGTGGGCTATATCTCCTTGGCACAAGGCAGTTGGGGGGAGGAGGGGCAACAGAGGGCAGGAAGAATGCTCTGCTTGGAGGGTACAGTTTCGATCGAGGGCTGGCCAAGGGACAGACACGAGCGGTATTGGGGGGACCAACTTTACGGGTGCGACATTGATCACACTAGACGACAAAGAATTAAAGTCAGTATTTGATTCTAGTGGACGAGGTTTTACTGGTGAGAAAGAGGTCTGATGGATCGTGTGAAGCAAAATAGTCTGAATATGGATGTATGTGACATACAGCTCGACGGAGGCCCTGGTCATCGGGGCCCGCGGACCGGGAATCGGAATCCATGTTCATAAAGAACAACGCAGACCCAACACTGCAGCGTGCCTAAGCCGTGCTTTGCGGCGGTGTGTGCCAGTGTGCGTCAAGGTCCTCTCTGAACTATTGGCCAAGGCAGGGCCCGTAAGGAGGGCGCTGCAGGACAGTAGTTAAATGGTCTCGGAAACCGAGAACTTAGGCGGCTAGAGGAGACAACGGGAACGCTGGTTATATCGGAGGTGCAGTTGCCTTTCGATACCTCCTTCAGAATGAGAGCGAATGAGTTGCACTAAGGGTGGTTGGCAAGCAAGAGGTGATCAGTTGAGAGGGATGTGGAGTGAATAGAACCGACAGTATGGTGGTAGTCTAGGTCTGGATAATGGACACTGGGGAACGAGTATCCGTCCCTAGGGGGTCCGTGAAAGAGGGCTCACAAAGAGCCAGCGAGTGTTAGAAGATTTAAGAGAAGAGCGTGGGGGATGGAGAGAAGGTGTGTTTGTGTGTGGGAGGAGATGGGAGGAGAATAAACTATGAATCGAAATGCGGCAAAGGCAACGGCAATGCAGGTATGGGAAGCGATAAATGAGCTTATTTCATCGATCTTTGGCTTGAACAACGTAGCTGTGGCAGTGTAGCTCGATTAGATAATTCTGGAACTGTTGAGCCTGGTAGGAGATAGAACTGACGGCCTAGGCTGGTGGACCGGGATTGATATTTGGATGAATGTGAGGCTGAGGTTTGAGGTCTCTTAGTGTAAAGTGAGTATCGGCGTTCTGTGCGGTAAGATAGTTGAGAACGTGCAAGGCTCGCTAGCGACCCCTCTCTGCAATAAGTATCTATTTACTGGGTAAGCGTGGTAAGGTAGGAAGGTAGGTAATCACAAGTTGGGCACGGTTAGTACGAAATACATTGCATTGCGCAATCCTGGCTAGGCGGACCTAGACGGCCAATGAAATAGGTCCAGTTCAGGACGTGCTACCTGGACTACCTACCTACGTAAAGCAGTACTTGAAAGACACCACCTTCTCTCATTGCCCGTATACGGTAGACATACGGATACCCATATGCCGAGTAAGAATATCCGTACAAGTCTTCCCTTTTAGTGAAGCGACAGAATATCCTGGAGACAAGGGTCGAATGCACTAGTTTCCATGCTTGACTCGCTCTCCGCACATGCACTTGGGCACTTTGTATGGGCTGAGGTATTCCACTGCCGTACGATATGGCATTGCAGTAAGGTATACCAGAGGTAGATTGGCTTATGGTCTCGATGTTGAGGTAAATTGCTGTGTACATACATAGTACAAGCATGCTGCCGTACCCGCACGATTACTGATACCTACCTTACTCTCCGTACGTGTCAAGGTCTTAGTCCACGGTGAATGATGGTGAAGACCTGTCGGCAACTTTACCGAGCCCGACCTGCCCCCTTCTATGTATGATGGGCTGCGGGCCGACTTCATGGCATGTACACTACCTAAATACGTCTCGGGCATCCGCGGATGCCATCACTCAGTCACCACCTTATTGTTTCTCTATGCAGTGGTGAACAAGGTATTCCGTCAGGCGGTCTCTGTCGGGAAGCCAAAACAACCTGCATTACCTTAAGATGTAGCTCGAAATTTCTTTCCCGCAATCATTCCGTGCTCTTCCCTTCCCCTAAGCTTTCGCCTGTGCTTCAAGCGTCGGCACGCCAGCTAGGTACCCTAGCTTACCGAAAATCTTCATCAGCCGATCTTTTTCAGATCCCATCCATCATCTTCACCCCGTCCAGCCGAATCCAGTTGAAGCCGAGAACACCCCACCTCGTCCGAGCTGCTCGCTCTCCCGTCAATTTCGGCGACCTCCACTTGCAGTGCGTTTGGAATCATTCAAGAGAGGTTCGTCACACTATCCGCACACAGCCCCATCGTCTCAGAACTCTCTTCGCGCAAGCAAGGCATCCGCACGTCGTGCGTTTTGCACTGCAGTCTGGCCGTGCGCAGCTCCGGCGTTCAATTCACAGAGTCTTCGCTGCCAGTGCCCGAATTGGAACCTTCTGTGCTTGAATCGACGTGAGGTATACCTGAGGTATGTGTGCCTCCTTGTACGGACACTATAGTGCTAGTAAAGGGCACGAGATAATCGACCAGGAATGCGGCAAGAACGCGGCTGCCCGCCCCGATTGCCCAGCTCCGGCAGACCCACCAGACGGAGACCACCTGCAGAAAGGGCCGGCAATCCAGGCCCAACTAACACCTTATCTTGCCTGAACCAAGAGTAAGTAGGTATTATACAGTAGAATCGCCAATCGATTCTACCTTACACGACGTTGGCACCAAATCTCTATGGATCGCCTCGTCGGAATCTTCCGAGTCCCTCTTTCGGGACTTGCAAGTCCATGAGAAACTTGACTGATGAATGATTGATAGTTCACAGTACCTTGGCATACCACTCCTGAATCCGATCTGCCACAGCCATGGGCACTGGCAAGGCCTCTATATGGTTTCTGATATTCCCAGTTGTAGACCCAGGCCAGGCCTCGATCTTGGCATACACGATGTAAGTTTCAGACCAATAGCATCAGTGAGTCAAGTCTTGAATAGGTAAGAGACCTAGTTGCGTGATTGAGAGTCTTTGTTGAGGAAAGCACTACGAAGAAGGCATTATAAATAAGTACCTAATGCTCTTCAACCTGCCCAATCGCGATACCATGATGCTAGGAGACAATCCCTCAAGGGTCATCACCAAGTTTGCCCAAGTACCTAATCATACTTCCTTCCGCCTCAAAGGGTGTCATATGAGCTTTGAGATTCCAAGCAGAGCCACATGCAAATGATACGCAGCCCTTGATGTAAGCGATGGGGAGTCTGGACATTTTACAAACGAACTAATAGTTCGGGACACTATATGATCGAGGTTAAGATATCGTGGGGGAGCGGCAGGCCTCCCGCCTAGGGCGTGCACAGTCCCTCAGTTTGAGCTTTATCTTATCTCTTATCGGGCAGTGACAGCGCCTTTTGCCTGGGTACCTACCTTAGTGGCTCTGATCAGTGACCATTAATAATACCGCCTTAGCACTTCGTCCTCATGTTTGATGGGGACCTAACCGTCACCGAGCACCATAATCACCACTGAAGACGCACCTTTCCCTCATTTTAGTTTTGACTAGAGGACGTCTTGAACAACAAGACATGTAAGGCAGCTCTGGGCAAGCCTTTTGCTCGATTTCGAAAATGCAAGGGAAGCGGCGCAATGAGCCCGGCAGTAGCGACGAGCGCCACAGACCAACGAAGCGTGCGCGCCTTACCGAAATCCACCCCTACGATTCGGATTCGAAATTGAGATCTCAAGACAATAACGCTATCTTCGCCGCCATCGACTTGCTGTCCTCGTTATCCGACGAGCTTCTCATCCGCATCCTGTCCTTCTTGTCCACTTCTAATCTTCTCGGTATCTCGCCCGTTTCCCGCCGTTTCTACCGCCTTTCTGCCGACTCTCAGCTATGGCGCACGCATTTTTATCATCGCTTCGTCCTGCCGCGCGCTCTGAAGATACCCGGTTTTCGCGATGGCTCTGCACGAGACAGCAGTCGAATACAGTTTTCCACACGCCGAACCGTCTGGGCCGACGGTGGCTGGGGTCGGCGAGATGCTCTGGGAGATTCTGTCGATTGGAAACGCCAGTACAAACTACGGCACAATTGGGCTAGTGGTAATGCTTTGGTTCAAGAGGTGAAGGTTGGGGAATCTTTGCTCGGCTCTGCGGGCGCAGGGAAGACTCTACTCAAAGTGATTGAGGGTATCGCGGTCACTGCCGACTGCGTTTCTGGCATGCGAGCCTGGGACCTCAAGACGAGAGAGCCTGTCGCCCAAATCAGCTTCAAGCATGGAAACTGCGGATCATCTCCTACTTGCTTAGCGATTGATGCCCGGAAGTTTGAGAATAAGAGACTTGACATCGCAGTCGGTTTTATGGACGGGAGCTTTGGCGTTTGGGAGCTTTATATCAAAGAAGGCAGGTTTCAGAAAAGATACAAGCACGAAAAGTCCAGCAACGGCCGACTGGTGGAGATCGTCTATCAGCACCCCTTTATACTCACGGCAACAGAATCAGTTCTGATATCTCTCTACGATTTTGAACGAGCATCCTCTGGCGGGAAGCTAGTGGCGTCCAGCAGCCAACGAGACACTGTTACTCTGAAAGAAAGGGGGAGTGAGGCTGCTGCGGAAACTGCGACCCTTCCAGAGTCAGAAAGGCCCATGGCAGCGTCTCCATTGTCAAAGTGTGACAAAACTCATAACCCATTGCAAGGAGCCACGCTACTCCCGGCTCCTATTCTTTTGACTTCACTCAAGTCACACACATCTAGAGCCCCATTGGCTCTGTCTATTCGCCAGGTGACTTCGCATGTAATCGCGTCGATTGCATATACGTTTTCCACTTTGGAAGGATGGTCAATTGGTATACAGGATCTACAGATACGGCCACAAGGCGCAGGCCAGCCAGCTTCAGAAATCGTCTCAACACGACTCGCTTTCACCAAGCCTGTGAAGGCTGCGCCTGCAGTTTTATTGACTTCCTCGACTGCGAGCCCGCAGCTTCCATCCCAAACACAGACGCCCGAAGGCCCGACGACACTGTGCTACAGCCATCCGTATCTTTTGGCTGCGCTACCAGATAACACTATGATTCTATACATTTGTACATCAAATGCTACAAAGCTCGATATTTCTGCAGGTATTCGCCTCTGGGGCCATACATCAGGCATCAGCGACGCTGAAATCACGACACGAGGTAAAGCCGTGAGCGTCAGCTCTCGAGGCGAACAAATACGGGTCTGGGAACTCGAGGGACGCGTCAGTGGCAAAAGTATCGAGATCAGGCCAAAAACAACCTCAGGCTCTGTTTTCACAGATACCATCGTGCCCTCACCTGAAGCGACGCCAGACCGCTGGGACGACCGACGTAACTGGGTAGGCTTTGACGACGAAATGGTCATCGTGTTGAAGGAAGCTATGGACGGGAAGGAGAGTCTCGTTGTGTATGATTTCTCATGAACGACTTCGATGAGGGACCAAAGCTAGCACCACCCTGCCTGAGGTTAGACGAGAGGTTTCAACTCTTGGCTAGCTTAGGCAGCTGCGGCTTGGACATGACATTATTCGACGCTCGTATCTCCGCAATGGGCGAACATACGCGACTAGGCCATGTGAATCCACGGGGAAGACTTCCACAGACTCGCTTGGCCAATTGATGGGACATTTCCACCATCGAACGAAGACCTTGCCCCGGTAGCCAACCTGTTCACACAAGCATACAAGAGTAGCCTCATATGGTCAACGAGCTTGCGTAACTAGCGGTAGGCAATAACTGCTTTGTAAGGCAGATAGGTACCTGTGAGGAACAGAAAACAAGCTGTTGCCTGGAAGACGTGAATGAGGCCACGGCATGTCTCGTCATCATTGTTCCAGCCCTTGCTTGCATTATCCTCGTTGAGAAGCTACGCGTAAGCATAGCAATTCCTACGCAAGGTAGCGGCAATGTCGAATGGCCGTCAGGGTTTGATCCCAACTTTAGACGACGACTTGGATGGTGATCATGATGCATAAAGTTCTCAGTGTCATCTACTGTTCCGAGAAGTTAAGCGACAGCGAGAGATTCTATGCATACCTGGCATGTGCAATAGGATATCTGAAAGAAAGCCTTGAGGCTTAGCGGTCAGGTCTAATGGATCGCTACATCAACGAAGCACCCACTACTGAGGATCTCTTTTGGCGGACTCCATCGGCCTGGTAGACTTGGCCATTTCGTTAGACTGAGCTTTCGATTTGGTACCGTGGTTGTGAAAACGAGGGTCGAGCTGTCGAGTATCCATGGACGTCTGAGCTACGAACAACATGGTTTCTGACATGGAGCCTACCTTAGCATCGTCGACATGATATTGAAGTTGAAGAGACAAAAGTTATGGAAGAGGCAAGCTGTGGGGTCAGATCAGCTGGGATATACCAATCGATCCGTCTTTTTAAGAATGCGTTCATGCCGAGTATCACTTTCAGGCATTGTCACGAGGATATCGCGTTGCTGCGTTGTAGTGCTCATTGCGCTCGTCTATAGACTTGATTAGATATTGGACCGGAATGCAAGATAGACCGCAGACGTCATTGCTGAGAGCTTGACAAACTGGAGGAATAGTGGGAACAGGCTCGCCAACGTTTTTCATGTATGGTTTATGGCTCCTGCAAGTATTGATATGACTAGCACACATAGAGGACTTCCATGCATGATTTTTTTGAGCATGTGGTTATCGAAACAGATATCATGAACGAAGCGGTATCAAAATTGTCTTGCTGCTGGAGCCATTAAGGCACTTGCACGGGCCGAACATGGCCAGTGAATATTTTGAAGTGATGTTCCATGATTCATATCTCAATTGCAGGGCTATCAGCGGCTGGGCTGATCAAATTCATCAACATGACCTTGAGTTCTGAGAACGTTGATGTCTTCAGGTACCCAATGATGTCTAGGACCGCGTCGAAAAGTCTACAAAGTGAAGGAATCATGACACCTCATTGGCAACATCGTGCCATAATTAGGACAGAACTTTCAAGCACACTGCCCTGGCTAACGTTTCGAGTAGCTGCCTCAATTAACACAGACTGTGGCAGTCGAGGTATTTGAGGTGCCCCCCCACGCATTTCCCCGGGGGGGGGGGGGGGGGTTGGCACATTTGACGCACCATGTGACGAGCTGTATCTCGTACAGTCCTTGATGAAATCCGGTCCATTTCTCGTACAGCCGAGACATTTTGTCTCAAGTTTGGACTTGGCCGCATTTCACCTGACAAGCTTTGTGAGATACATAATGTTCTTGAAGGATGAATCCAGCATAGATTCGGACATGAATTCCGAGGCCAATTGACTGATCATATTCAGATTCATCAATTACGGCTCATTCACTCAACTTGTGTACGGAGTAGGGCAATGATGAAGCAAATTCCACTACCAGTATGCACACATGCTGAGAATTGTCTTGCTCTTTTGCTGAGGAATCCAGGCCCCGTTGGGCCCTGGCTGACCCACTGGGTCTACGTCCCTGCTTGCTAGATCAGGCAGGCCGTTTTGTATGCCGCACTCTGTGCCCCACGTACCTTCACATGTGAGAGTACTGAGGGGGTGGGAGGAGTAAGAGAAATGCGGGTGCGGTTGGGAGGGGATAAGATAAGAAGGAGGGGTGATAAGGAAGGCTGGATATCGATACCGCCGCTTCACCCTTATCCCCCTCCTTGTGGCGGCGGATGGCGGGCGACGTAGGTATTGTCGGTGACATTGACCAACCGCACTTGGCTGTCTTGTGACAAGATCTAGATCCAGCAGTCAATGGCAAGCTAAGGTAAGGCAAATAAGAAGAAAAGAAAAGAAGCAAGGAAAAAGATGGATTGAAAGTGGACGCTGGGCCAACAATGTTGAACCAATCATGGCGATATATGGTCATGGCGGTGCGTATCGCGCGTCTCGTCGATAAATCACTGCCCGCGGCCGATATGAAGATGAGAACGAGTTACAGGTTAGGCCAACAATTCGAACCAGTTGACCGCCATCTCCGTTTTACCCCTCCTTTCGCTCCCTCCCCTCTTCTCGGGAGAGTTGGGCCAGAAGACGTCCGTAATCCCTTGCCTTGCGATATCGCTCGACTCACTGAGAGACGCCAGGAGGGTGTTGGGAAGTGGATTGCTGATGTCGCAATTTAGTGCCATGAAGAATCGCCAAGGTTCGTGGGTAAGTGTGGTAGATATGCGCGAGGCCAGTACATAGAAGTGGTCAATTCCGAGCACCCTTTTTTGGCATCTGATGGGGTCCAATTGGGAAAGGGGGGGGGGGGGGTGAGCGAAGCCTGATTGATCAACGGACACACTACGGCGAAGTCCTATTCCGATAACTATCGCCAGTAATTATCGTGAGATAAGCTGTCCATAGTAGGACAAGGTGTGGGATGGTGGTCTCACTTGAGATTCGGGCCTCGTGATCATCCCGCTACTACAATGGTGAAGCCATCAAACCCACCAAGGGGAACGAACGAACATGACGACAATGCGCCGACGGGCTACGAGAGAGGATGCGGAGGTCGAGGTCCAGAAGACGGAATCCGCGCCAGAGAGCGCCGTTACTGCCGTCTCATGCCTGCCCGCAAGCCCCCCAAGCGGCGCGTCTTGTCCAACCCACGAGACCACGCAGTCGTAGTCGGTCGGTTGGTGGCAAGGAGGGGGCTTGGGGGGTAGTCATGTGGCCGCAGTCTTGGTTGGCAAGGGTGTGGTCGTCGAGCGCATCATTGACACCATCTCAGGTTGGTAGACAACCATAGCGAGCAGAGGTAGAGGTTGTGGTCGCCAGCTGACAACGAGGATGAACCAAACCACCACCGACCACCCGAGGGCCTGGTGATGTGGTGCTGCACGGCGGCTGCTACTGATAGCGCCCGTTCCCGCTATCGATAAGTTTCCGTTGATGCTCCAACATTGTAATCAGGATACCTCGCCTGAATTAGACCGTTGGACACAGTGCGCCTTTGGCCAGTTGGGGGGTCCTTCGGGTCTTTTGGAGCCCTTCTGATCGGGGGGGCCATCTGGGGCGATGATCTGGGCTTTCTCAAGATTTCAAAGCGGCCCGGCTAGTCAAACTCGAAATGTCTCGTTGCCTTTGCTATCCGCGAGAACCGCGCCTCGGATTCAAAGCAGGCAGCCAGCATCGATTGCGCGTCCGAATGCTGCCGAGAGAGCTGTGGTCATTGGCGAGGAGTGCTTCTGTTTTCCCGCCGTTTCTTCCGCAACTTATCGACCAAGCCGTTGCTGCAAGCAAAAAGAGAAACTTTAGGTATGGTCCAATGTCCTTGTGACAAATGATATGTCAAGGCTTCCTAGACCTAAGACGAGAGACGGTCATCTCAAAGACTCGCCTCGACAGCGACTCAGTTGCACATTGCTTACCGATTTGATCCTAAAGTTCGGTGTCCCGATACCTTCCATCTTCAGACTCGCCTGTCGGTCTCTTGTCTTGCTTGCGAGCCGCAGGTGCGAGACCTTACGTCGTATTCTGTTCCAGGACGTCGGAGCGTTCTGGGCGGCAGCAAATGAGATGTCACTGACAAATGTATTTTTGACTCTACGCACAGCTGCTGTACCTATCTCATTGCTGCCACAGTCATCGCTGAACTCTCAATCTATTGCATGGCGACGCCACAGCTCGTCCTTCCGGGAAGCTCGGGGCGTCGGAGGATTTAGACCTTGCCCCGTTGCAGCGTTGGGGTTTCCAGAAGTCTGCACTCGCAGCTTTCCAATCCAAGGGGATGGCTCGAATACTTCTTCTGCTATGCAGTACAAGGGTGCTGAGTGTCCATCATGCTCGTGTCGTGAGCTTTAGGTATGCTCTATCATTGTGAAGTCGGCGTTTCACCCGCTCGCCATTTCTTAAAAATGCAATTGAATCAACTCAGTCTATTGCTCCTGTTCTCAGGTATGGCAGATGTTTGCTGACGAGCGTTCGCGGGCTGGATCAAGGCTGGCCGAGATGCAAATGATGAAGAGGAATGTACGGAGTACCTAGCAGGTGGAAGATGGCGTTGGAAGCGCTGAGCTGGGTCCATTGCCGAATGAGATGTTTGGCTTGCGGACTGGGTGCGTTGCCATGCAAGGTCCTTATTTCGGCAGGGCTTGGACGTAACTACTGTTCAGTCCTTGAAAGACAGGGGGTTGGCAATGGAAAGACTAGGGCCTTGTCGACTGGCGAAGGGCATCCAGAGATGCGCGCTCGCGTCGTTCGGTCCAGGTCGTTGCTCCTTTTCTTTGCTCGGGTCGTTCATTCTCGCAAATCCATCGAAGGACGTGGAAGGCGATGGATGCTAGAGCATCACTCGATGCTTGCCTCCTTGAGTCTTACGTTATTATTTGGGTACTTAGGGGAAAGTCATAGAGCGGGAGGAACGGTGCCTGGGACTCATGGGAATTAGTTACCTTCCCTGGATTGTAAGTGTACAAAAGGTCAAAATGGGACTTTCCATTGGAAAC